GAAAATAAAAATACTAAAAATATTTAAATTTTCCATTACAGGATATGTTAGTTTATACTAATAAAGAGGGATTAACAATAGAATCAGATAATTTTCAAATTATTCCTGTTCCAATAAATGAAGAAATATTGGAAGAATTTGAAGTTCAAAGTATTGTCGAATATAGAAGTAGTGTTCTATATCTTACTATGGGAATTTATGCAGGTGAGATACAAAAATAAAATTAAAATCATTTTTGATTTTGAAAGGTATTCTGGGTACTTGTGTAGTTCCCCCCCCCCCCCCCCCCATAAGCTCCGCCCCCTTTCTTCTAAAATTAAAAGGATTAATGAAATAGCAGGACCAACAATTTTAATCAGACGAACCTTTGTTAATCTAGTTATCACCCCCTTTCTATTAGACTTCGCTACTTGGGTCCACTAGTTGGCACTATAACCGGAGTCGATTATAGTTGATTACTTTTTATAAAAATATATTCCATTTCTAAAGAAATAATCACAAATGAAAATGGCATTTTTGAACGACTTCAGCAAAATAAATATGATATTGGAATTGCCGAATTTAGTGAAATGGCTGGTTCTTTCGCTGTGTTCGAAGCGTTGGGAATTGAAGAAACATTTGATGTTTCTTGTTCTGTATTCATTCCAGCATATCTACAATTTGTTGGAATTAATGTTTTGGCCTATCAAGTTCCTGGTGATTTGTTAATATTTATTTGAAAAATATAACGGGGCTTCAGAAGGCATCGTAAATGTTAAAACGGTCTAGTAGCACAGAAGGCAAAATAAGCCATACTCGTGTAGTATGTATATTTTAACTATGAGCGGTCAATCCGTTTTATGCGTGGATTAAAAAAGATATCGAGGATTTAGAAGATTAAGGAGAAAATTGGGAGATTTGGCTTTATTACAGGGATATTAGTGGAATTGTGTGATATCGGGGATTTTAGGGATATCATGTGATTGAGGAATCGGAAAATTAAGAAGGATTCCGGAGATTATGTGGATATCAAGGAATATATACGGATTAAGAGGATTACATAATTGAGGCTTCTGAGGCATTACATAATTGAGGCTTTCTTTATCTTATAGCCCTGTTGATTATATTTAATAATTTATTTGTTAAGAATACAAATCTGCCAAGCCTGGAGATTGGAAAGATGGGATTTGGCAAAAAAACAGAGAGGAGAATATAAACGAACATAGAGGAAGAAACGCATGGGCATACAATGTTTTCATTTTAGATTCTATAAAGTATTACAATAAATTGTTTGATGATAAAGGAATACCCGAAAGTAAAATGCCATCATCTTTGGTTGAATTGTTAAATAAAATTAAATATCATTTTTTAAATCAACATCCTTTAATTAAATTTAACAATTTTCCTGAATACGATAGGTTTGTTTATATTGGTGGAATTACTGTTGAAGATGATAAACTTTTAACTGAAGGAAAACAGTTAGTGGAGAATGAGGTAGGAAAAGCTAAAATTATTATAGTGTTAAGTATATAGTAATAAATTTAGTGATAAAATTAATCGCACTAAATATCCTTACAGAAATTTTTGAAGCTTCTTCGTATCAGCTTAGCTATCCAAATCAACTTTGTATTTACTTTCCTATCTAACCACACGATCCTTTAATACGCCATAACTTTTAAAAACTCTCAATATTAGGGTACACCCCAAGGTATCGCAAGCTCAAGGTACCGCTAAGTATTACTTTGTTTAAAATTGCAGAATCCGCAACGCCTTGTAATGGTTCAATTCAGCTCGTAGAGGCGCATCGAGCCATAACAGAGCGTCCCCCCTGCTTCCACTTTGGGTGTGCCCATTTTTTCTGAAAGATAAATTTTTAAGCCTGACTGTGTTATTCTTGTCACATTTGGAACTGTTGGCTATAAAGCCTATCCAATCGACAAAATGATTGAAGTATTTACACAATTTACTCAGTGTTATTTTCACGTTCGAGCAGATAAAGATTCGCAATTCGTCAATGGTTATACAACTGAAGATCCACTTCCACAAAAAGCGATATTATGTAAATTTAAATTTATAGTACCCATATTAATTAATTTATTTCAAGCTCAAACAAATACAAGAGTATTTATTTCACATTGTGGGCAAAATAGTGTTACTGAGGTATTTTATGAATTTAAAATCATAGATTATTAAGCTAGTGATTCTTTGATATATCTCCTCGAAGTTGTCATATCCTCAAGTCTGGTCTCCATAAAAACCATTAGGAAAAACAACTGGAGGGATGAATGAAAGGCACTGGTTGGTAAACGATCAGATTGGGTTGATCCTGAGACCAAAAATTTTTTAATTAAAAAATTTTTTCTAGTCAATGTATGCAGGTGTTCCTTTAATTTGTATTCCAAAATTTGGAGATCAAAAATATATTGCTTCGATTGTCGAATCTAAAGGAGTTGGCATTTATTTGGATCATGAACAGTTAGAGCATTCTACTGTATCTCTATGGAATGCTCTTTATCAAATATTATATGACGAGTATGGAAATTTTAACAGTAAATATAGTTTGGCTGCTGAAAAGATGAGAAAGGACATTCTCCAAAATTACGAACATGAAAAAATGAAAAACAAATTTTTGGGCAAATTTTAATTGGTATGTATATTAGTGAGAGATTTTGTCAAGTAAAGGAAGAAAGATGTTTTGGAGAGAGTTTTTTGGAGTTTTTTTGGTTAAAATTTTTTTAAATTTATTTAAAGGGGTTGCCACGATTTTTTAATACCTATTTTGTATTAAGAAAGTTAATTTTTTGTTAGTTCAATTTTTGGACCCCCACTTTTCGATTTTGGTTTTCGGCCAAATACATGTCTTTTTTGAAAATGATTTTGTAAATTGTATTCTAAAATGAACGACTTTTAAATTTTCAAAATTATTTTCAAAAAATTTCAAAAAAAAATTTTCGAAATAGTAAACTTTTCATTACTTGACCATCCTTATTCTGATAAAATTTAAATTTTATTTTATTCAAAACGGCAGCCCTTTACTTTTTTAAATTTTTTTGGGGATTTATTTTTAAAAAATTGAGAAAGGAGATTGATTATCCAATCAGGAATTTTGCACTTCTCTTAAAGAATGCTTTTTTTATTATTTATATTTATTTTTCATTATCGGATAAAGATTTTTTTGGGAGGAAAAAAATTATTTTGTTAGATAATTTAATTATTTATAAAAAAATTTTTTTGAATTCAACTGAACAGAGAAATGTTTTTTTCAAAAAAAAATAAAATTATTAATGATGTTTTAACTAATTTACGGGAGGTAATCATCAAAAATAATAAGAAAAAATTATACAAGAATAAATATTTGTTGACATTTTATTTTGTGTCATTTCCGATTTCCGAAAATTCAGCCTGATTTCCGAGTTCCATTTCTGAGCTATTTCCGATTTCTAACAGTTCCGATTTCCGGCACCTTTGTTATTTCCGAGTGTCCTCTGATCAAGACTAACACCAAGATTGAAAAAAACAATTTATTTTCCACGAAAAGGCCGGCATGCCCTTATATATATTTTTAATTAAAAAATTAATTTTCTAAAAATTTTTTTAATTTAAAATTAAGCCAATCAATAATATGGATGATTTAAAAATTTTTTAGAGTTTGTAGTCTGAAATTATTAAGCATTTATACGATATATACGATCAATCCTCGTATAAATTTTCACTTTTTTGTATCACTGACTCTCTCTCCCTCTCTCATTTGCCATTAACAAGTGCAAGAGTGACTCCGAAAAAATTAACAAATAGGGTAATCGTATAAATTGTTATAAATATAAAGCTTAATATTAATTTACAAACTACAAAAGCTTTGAATTTTGAGTTGTAAATTAAAAGTCGCAAAGGTTATAAATTTGCGGATTATTAAAAGAAATTTTTTTATTTAATATTGAAATAAAAAATGTTTTATTTTAATTTTTGTTGATTTTTGGCCTCACAAATTGAATGAATTAAAATCCTAGATTTTATGCTTTTTAATCTAATTTGTTGTTAAAGTCCAAAAACACGATATAAATCTTTCTGTAAAGGACACTCTTTCTCCCAAAACAACGACTCTGGTTTACAATACTCGGGAATGAAAAAAGTCGACTCGTGTTTTAAAAATGTTCTTTTTTGTAAAAGGTTTCGAGTCGAAAAAATCAGGTTTCGTGTAATCGGTGACAGCTCTGAAAGCTTAATATCAATTTACAAACTATTTACTGGGGAGAGCATTAAAAGTAAATACATAAGTTTAGATACGTATCAAGTTTAGTTTCTCGCTTTATTTATCTTGCTATCAGAGGTGGGTCGGAAAGAACGAAGGTGCCGGAAATCGGAACTGTCGGAAATCGGAGATAGCTCAAAAGTCGGAACTCAGAAATACGCCTAAATTTTCGAAAATCGGGAGACGGAAATTGGAATTCTTACCCACCTCTGCTTGCTATGAAATTTTTAATAATTTTAAAGTGTCGAAGAAACCAATCCGCAAATATATTTGCGGTTGAGGGAGGGGAGGTCTCTCACATGCTTTCGAGGGAGGTCTCTCACATGCTTGCGCAAGGCATTGACATAGACATTAATTGCATATAAATATACATATAATTTTACATTTTTTAATTAATTTAAACAAATTTTTTAAAATTATTTTAAGGAAAATTTATTTAAAATTAATTTTTAAATTTTACTTTTAACGATTTTTATAAAATTTCCACTGAAAATTGTTGAGTTTAATAAATAGGGAGGTTGGAAGTTCTGGGATAGGTTTGGTAAAAGTTGGGAAATAACGTTAGAATCCAAAAAGGGGAAGGCAGAACTTGAAAGAAACTTGTATAAAACACTAGAAATTTGCATTGAAATTCCAGCCCCTCCCCCTCCCCCCTCTGATTTTTTTTATAATTTTGTAGTAGGTTCTCTGCCCCCAAGTAAAATAAATAAAAATACATGGTTATTTAATTCTTATTACTTTTAAAAAAATTATTTTTAAAATTTTTAAGGAAATGTACATCAACTTAATTTTTTACATTTTATTATTTTTTCTAATTTTTATCAGCTCCTCCCCCGTGAAAAATTGTAAATGTCCTACAATTAAAAAATTCTCTGTCCAAACAAACAATCCAAAAAAACCGACAAAAAATTATCGTCAAAAACATCATCGTCGATTTAAAAGAGGAGAAACTTGTATTTGTGAAGGAGAAGGGGGAGCTACAGCTGTTGATAATGAAGGTTTTACTCACCGTCCTGGAAAAGAATCTATGAGAGAAGGAATGGAACAAGAAGTCGAACAAGTTGAAGGAAAGGATAGGAAGGGCAAAAGAATTCTGTACATTTGTGACAATCTTTCCTTCCCCAATCTGGAATTTAACGTAAATTTTTTAAATTAATTTGAAGTTGAAGATTTTTTATTTTAGAAAATATTAGCCAACATTTTGACAGAAAATTATCATAAAGTGGTTAGTTTATACTGATATTTCGGTTTTTGAAATTGGTCTTGGTCCGACCCCCTTTCAATATTTTTATTTTTTTTATTCCAGGATATGCTAGTTTACACGGGAACTTGGCAAGAAACAGTAAAACTAGGAAATTTAAAAATTATTTATATTCCAATAAATAAAGAATTATGGAAGAACTTCCAAGTAGAAATGTATTTCTCTATAGGAATTTATAGAGGTAAAATAATTAAAAATAAAATTAAAATATTTCATTTCTAAATAAGAGTTAATGACACATCAAAAAAAGCTTCTTGATCGGCTTCAAAAAAATAAATATGATATTGGAATAGCCGAGTTTAATGCAACGGCTGGTGCTTTTGCTGTTTTTGAAGCATTGGGAATTGAAGAAACAATTGATGTTTCAAATTCTGTATTCCCTCCAGAATATCTTCAATTTCTTGGAATTAATGTTTTGGACTATCAAGTTCCCGGTGATTTATTAATTATTACTTTAATAAAAAATATTACGGGACGAAGTAAAATTTCAAAAAAAAATTCCGAATTATCAGTTCCACAGCATCTTAAAATAGGCAGAGGCTGTTACTCGCCTTTCAGTGCTGTTTCAGCACTATGGTTTCAGTGCCAGGATTTCAGTGCCAGGGTTTCAGTGAGTGCTCTATTTAAGTGAAATTGAATTGTATGCAATTATTAAAATGGAATGTTAATCATTTTATTTAACATTTAAAGGCATTTTAAATTAAAATTAATTTTTTCAAAATAGGTTTTTCCCTTTATTTTTCATTTTCTAAATTTAGTTACAAACCCATGTGTAACTTTTATAAAACATGTTAAAAACGATAAATTTGGTTTTAAAACAAAGATAAGACTTTGTTTAACGATTTAGTTAAGATAAAATTTTTTTTCAAAGTTTTTTTCGAGATAAAACTTCTCGAAGTTGCAACCTCCAAATCTTTAGAAAATAGCACGCGAAAGAAATAGTGGGGAAAAGAAAAAGATACTGTATTTTTATTTTTTCAGTGCCACTGAAACGGCTTAAAGTAACAGGTTAAGATGCTGTGCAGTTCTAAATAACCTTTAAAATATTTTCCCCATATGGTGAATCGACTGTCATATCTAGGGCTGCTCAAATATGAAAAATTCCAAAATATGAAAAATTTCTCAACTTTATAAGGAATTTGAAACATTATTTTTGTTAAGCCTTCGCCGCTGCTAAACCTGGAGAATGGGATAGAGATGAAAAATGGGACAAATGTGAAGCAGATAATAAAAATGAACATAAAGTAAGTAACAATCGAGTACAGGAGCTTCTCACTACAACTTCTCAAAACTTTTATAATTCCTTGTTTGATGACTATGAAATATCCATCAAAAAGCCATCAACTCTGGATGTTTTATTTAAAAAAATTAAATATCATTTTATAAATCAACATCCTTTAATTAAATTTAACAATTTTCCTGAGCACAATAAAATTGTTTATATTGGTGGTATAACTGTTGAAAATGACGAACTTTCAATTGAAGAAAAAAATGAAGTAAACGACGAGGTTGGAAAGCTCATATTTAAAATATATATCCGTAAATTAATTAAAAACTACATTTACTTCCGATCCCCGAAAATATGATTAAACTTTCCCCGATTTTCAAAATCGGAAATTGGAAAAAAATTGAAAATTCCCAATTACCGAATTTGCAAATTTATTCTCAGAAAACGAGGAACACTTCCCAATATTTTTAATATCCTGTGTTATACTCAATAACTTTTTTTTGGGTTGTGTCGCTTTTTTTAACTCAGATAAATTTTTAAGGATTGTCATGTTCTTGTAAGCTTTGGAAAGTTGGAATATTTAGGAGAATATCGAATCTACGAAATGATTAGAAAAGTATCTGAAAAATATTTTGCTACGTGTTATTTTCATGTTCGAGCAGCTGAAAATTCGACATTCTACTATGGAAGATCCTATACTAAAAATAATCTTTCACAGAATGAAATTTTATGTATATATTTATTCACAAATTTACTAATTTATTTTTATTTTCAGCTCATCCAGATACAAGAGTGTTCATTTCACATTGTGAACAAAATTGTGTTAATGAGGTATTGTTGTATGCATAAAATTATAGTCTCTATCAATCACCCTTTCTCAATTTAACTACCAATTTTCGGTTAATTCCACCCTCCAGGACTGGTTGAAACAGTCACTAGAAATTCAAAGAAATACGGTAATTACAGGGTGCGACAAATAGTGCGTAAGCTTTGTTTTGGCCATATCTCTCTCCAACTCGGAGCAGTTCAACTGAGTCCCGGCCCTATAACTTAGCAAGTAATGGTCACTTTTTCATGTTCTTGGTATCATTTGATAGAGAATCAAAAGCTCTATAAAATATCAAAAAATCAGAATTTTTGACCAATTGATAAAAAAGTTATGATTTAAAAACTAACTTTTTCAAAAAAATCGGATTTTTCGGCACTTTATCGATCATAACTTTTTTACCAGTCGGTCAGTAATTTTGATTTTTTACTACATTGTAGCCTATTTAATGCCCTATCTAATGGTACCAAGAGTAACAAAAAGTGTCATACCTTCATAAGTTATAGGGTCCAGGACTCAATTGAGTCGGGACTCAATTGAGGTGTACCGTCTTCAACTTTAAGAAAATTTTTAATTCTTTTTTATTATTCTCAACACTCTAAGAAAATCTTCGATAACAGAGACAAAAACGATATCTCGTTTAATAACTATCGGTCTCTGATCTAGTATTGGGAAACTTTGAAACAAAAATTGAAGCTTATTCTTTAAAAGAATTTTAGGCAATTTATGCTGGTGTTCCAATAATCTGTATTCCACTGACTGGAGAGCAAATGTATATTGCTTCGACTGTTGAACAAAAAAGAATTGGCAAATATTTGGATTTTTCTGATGAAAATCTTATTGAAGGACTTCGGACTGCGCTTAATCAAATATTTTATGACAATGAAACAAAGCTTACTTTTAACAGTGAATATACTGAGAATGCCAAAAATATGAGAAATGCAATACTTGAAATTTACAAAAAGAAACCGATGAAAGCCAAATTTTTGGATAAATTTTTGGAAAATTTTTAGAGGTTTAGTGGAAGATTTTGTCAAGCAAAAGATGTAAGCTGAGCAGTTTTTTGGATTTATTTGAGTTAAATTTATTTTTCTAAATTTATTTTAAAAAGGGCTGCTATTTATACTAAATAGGGTTATTCAAACAGGTTATTGACATTTAATTTTTTTCAGTTAAATTTTTGGACTTCCCATTGTTTGTTTTAATTCTCGTTTATTTTGAGCTGAATTTTGAAAATTATTTTATGAAATTTTTAGGTTTTTTAAAAAATATCAAAAAAAAATTTTTGACGCTAGTGGAAACTTTAAGCTTATTTGTAAAATTCAGATTTAATTTTATTCATTTACATATATAAAAGCGGCAGCCCTTTATTTTTTTAAATTTATTTTTTGGTGATTTATTTTTTATTTTTGGTTTTGGTATTTTTGATTTTGGGGGATTTATTTAAAAAACAAAAATTGAGAAAGTTGATTGATTATCCAATCACAGATTTTGCATCTCTCTTAAAGAGTGCCTTTTTATTTTTTATTTATTTATTATTATCTGATATGTTTTTTAAACTGTAATTACTCAGGAAAGGTTGTTGGAAGTTTATATTTTTTGGTTAATATTAACACAAAGGATGCTACTATGGCGGGGACTGTTTACCCGAAACCAGGACTTTATTCTACTCAAGAACGAACTCGAGAAATTTTTGAAAACCCGACCAGAAACATTACCTATCTATTAACACACCCCAACCCTGGATACTGCCGACATAAAAAATAAATTCATTAACCCAAAAAAAAAATACTTTTGAAATTAAAGTCGGTTAGTCCTCGAAACCTACCGTTCGAATTATTTTTGACCGTTCAAACACAACCTTCCCTGAGTAATTTTTGATTGATTATTCAATCAAAGATTTTGCACTCCGAGAGTGCATTTTTATTATTTTTATTTATTTTTTATTATCGGATAAAGATTTTTTGGGAGTAAAAAATTGTTTAGTTAGATAATTTAATTATTTATAAAAATTTTTTTGAAAATTCATGAAGCATTGCTATAAAAATTGGAAATAAATATGAGAAATAATACAAAGAGAATGTAAAAAATATTTAATGATTGTATCAAACATTTTAACTCTTCCATTTATTTTATGGAAGAGTTTATCAATGTTTCCGTTTCTTTTTCATTCCTCCAATATTAACAGAAGCGGAAGAACTTGCCAAAGTTCCATAATCACTTGAATGTATTGTAAAAGAGGATTTTTGGAGTTTTTGGGTTTCGTTTACAGAATTGCTATGTTGAAGAATCATTGTTTAGGAAGAAGAAAATTTTCGTTAAAGGGAACTATGGCATATTCTTCTGGCCATTCTTTGTCTACTAGACAGTAACGGTTAGGGCGGAAGTTGTCTTTTGAAAATCGAGTATCAGATTTTAAATTATTACAGCAGCACTACAATGATTTGATCAGATTTCAACGAACGCTTATGCTTCGTAACAACTTGTAGCGAGAGGAATTTTTGAATTATTGGGGCGACTAAAGTCAACTAAAAACATTAATAATTTTTATTCAAACATTACATAGAAAAAAAATTTTTCTTGCCTTTTTTAAAAATGAATTTTGAATTTCGCAATCTTAATCAATATTTATTTTTAAAAATTCAACTGCCTTTAAAAAAATTTTCCCTCTATATCGTCTTGCATACCACATGCTATGTCAAGAATTGGATGTTGCAATCCCTCACTCGATTATTCTCTTACGATTTATTCAATTCATATGATGCCTTTATAGCAATAAATTAATTACTTAATGAATTTATTAATTATTCCGGAGAATATTAACGATGTTTAATGAGAGAC